CTCGGAAAAGAGGTCACAGGTCAAAGGTCATTTGGGTCAGGGTCATGAAATTTTAAGGGTAGGTGTAAAATTGATGAATGCGGGGGTACTGAAAGTTTCGTCGCGATCGGCCACTTTTTACGCGAGTTATTCGCGAAAAACCATGGGGGGGGGGTCCATCCGACCCCCCCCCCTACACATGCGAGGGTTAACCCTCGCCGGCAGTACAACGGGGCAGTACAAGCAGTACGGCAGTACATCCCCCTCGCAAAGGTTTTTCGAAAATAACTCGCGTAAAAAGCGGTCGGTCGTGACGAAACTTTAGGCACACTCGATTCATTCACCTACCCCACACCCCACTGGGGGGGGGGGACTATTCATAGCCCCCCTCCCGTTTTTCTGCAATAACTTCCAAACCGCTTGACGTATCGACGCTAAACTTTCAGTACCTTCGGCTGCATCAATTCGACACCAAGTGACAAAATATAAACTTCGTAGCTACCACAGGTCAGCCGGAAATGACGTCAGAGTGACGTTATGTTCGGCCGATTTCGACGCAAAACATTGAACCACGGCAATCGCTCCCAAGAGCTCAGTTTTTAAGTTAGATCCAATTGCTTTGCATGAAAAGACTCAGGATAGACTGCGCTATCAAACTGCTATCTCGGATCTCCAAAATTTCGAAAATGTCGAAAATTTTATATAATAAAATTCGAAATTTATATTTTTATATTTTTTTCAAAAAGTTTTTGACTTTTCAAAAAAAAAACGGAATACATGTGATAGAACGTATGCCTATGACTAACTCTAGCAAATTTTAGCTAAATATCTTCAAAAATGGCCAAGCATTATTGGAAAAAGTTCACAATTATTAATTTTTCAAATCAATTTTTTCAGTACGTATTTGACATCGTACACCAATATAAATAGCACCATCGTGTTTCTGAGCTCAAACTGCATCTATTAGACACCTTTTATGTTGAAAAATTTTAACTTCAAAATTTGACCTTTTTTGACCTGAAAGTGACCTGACCTAATCTAAATTCGACTCGAAATGACCTCGAATTACACAAACGACATCAAATTCGAAATTTATGGCCTAAATGGGCCATAAAACATGTGTCACGTGACCGACGCATGATGTAATATTTCCGTGACCTGTGATGACCTGACCCTGACCTGAAAATCAAAGTACAAATTTGGTACCCTCAGGATATCTAGAGCATCTGTTCACGAGTGTGTAAACGAAAAATGAGCCTGATTTGACTTGTAAGACGGCGGCCAGAGCCCAAGATGTGAACAAGCCAAAATGCTAATAATTTTTACTTTGACCTGACCTGTGACGTCATCGGTGACCTCGAGGTCAGTGAAATTAGGTTTCGTGTGACAGTTTATCCAGGGCTATCAGACGCAGTTTGAATTTTGAAGATCAGCCCAGTAGTTTAGGAGATAGGAGGGGGCTCTGTAGAGGCCCCCCCCCCTCAGTCACTTGCGTTATAGAAAATACCCCAGTCATGCGCGGGTTAAACTGGTAAAAAAGGCATACCATTCGATGAACATTGAGGTGCTGAGTTTACTGGTGCTTTATTTTTGTTCTATCTTTTTTAGATCGAACATTATAGGCAAAAACTTTGGACTCTTTTTAGCATTTTTTTTACATTTTTACCCCCCCCCCCTAAAAAAAAAAACAGAGACACCAAATTTGCACAGGGGTGAGATTTCTTGTGGGCCCACATGACCTGTAAATTTGGGATTTCTTAGTGCCACAGGAGCCAATCGCCAGGGGGTCGTACCCCTCCCCCTCCCTCAGCCGTCCGCGTTATGAAAAAGGCCCTCGCCTGGTGAGGGCTAATACCAATGCAAACTCCCAAATAAATCAATCATCGGATGAGCTGCTAAATTGGTAGATATTAGGTAAGTTATATCTGAATGTGCTCGTAAAAGGGAAGGAAAAAGGAAACCATTAACCACCAAAAACACAGTCGTTTGCAAATAAAAATTGCTTTTAGCTTTAACCCTCGCCGGCACAGGCCATTTTGAGTCCTTCGACGGCACAGGGGGGGGGGGGGGTTGGTACGACCCCCATCGCGTTTGGCCCCTGATGGAGCTAGAGCTTCGCGGAAAAAAGAGCGTGTTGCCCGTCACGAGAGGAAGCCAATGATACCCAATTTTAAGGTCCTAGGTCACCGGTTGACCTTCCAGGTCAGGTCAATGACCCAAAAATCGGGAATATCGGGACCTATTATAAAGTCGTAAAGCGTGGCTGCTAAGGGTTTTCCGGAGTGCTGATCACGAATATCGTGTTAGTTTTGATCACAGATGATGTCCTTAAGCGTTTAGACCAGGTCGGGTCAGGTCAGGTCAGGTCAGGTCAGGTCAACCGGTAGGGGTCGTGACGGGTATTCGTAATACCTGTCATCCGCCTCTGCCAGCTTCGTAACATGTTACGAAGGCACAAAAACTACTTCGTAAATGTTCAAATGGTTGCTAAATTCGAATTCAGCTCCAAAAACTAACCTAGAAACATGTAAAACTCGAAAAAGTGAACCGAGGTCACCAAAGGTCAGTGACCTGACCTGACCTTCAGGTGACCTTGACACCCACCCTTATGCATGGGAGCAACATCAAATCACATGTTTTGAACGTTTGAAACCACGAAAAGCTTGCAAACGCCCGGCTAATGCGAGCCGACATATACGCCGAATCGCGATTTCGGCCAAACATGGTCATGGAAAAGAGGTCACAGGTCAAAGGTCATTGGGGTCAGGGTCATGAAATCTTCAGGGTAGGTGTAAAATTGATCAATGCGAGGGTACTGAAAGTTTCGTCGCAATCGGCCGCTTTTTACGCGAGTTATTCACGAAAAAAAACTTAGGAGGGGTTGCATCACCCCCCCCTCTGTGCCGGCGAGGGTTTAATCGTTTAAGTGATACTACAGGTAATACATAGGTACAGGTCTCGCGGGTTTTAGCGGCAGGTTTTGCACCTAGAAAATTCAGTGTACTTCAGGGTATATCTTCGTCGTCTTAAGCTTTTAAGTGTTGAAGATGCGATCGACTTGTTGGTTCACAAGCCGGCCACGATCGTGTAAAATGGCTTCATCGTAGATCGATTAGTTTCTGAGATATAACCGGAAATTCAAAAGTGCAAAACCTACCGCTTAATCTCGCGAGAGCCGTACCTACCTATACAGATAGAAATATGATAGTTGCATGTATTCAGGCCTTAGCTTGATTACCAATCATGATAATAGTGTTTTGCAAGTTTATATCATTGTTAAAGGGACACTCCCACCTTAACATTAGTTTTGAGTTGAGATAGCCAAATTGGTGGCCATGGCCTGCAAATACCGGTTTGGGCACTCACAACATCGACAAATGCTTTAATTCGGAGATATGGAATTTCAAACTTGCAGTTTTCGGATTCTAAGGGGCTAGTGCATTGGTATGCCCCCTTAGAATTTGTGACGTCAGCGGAGATCTAACGATTTTTAAATCTTTTACTAAAACGTTTGGTAGCACGCGGTGGTATATGCTGCTTTGCGCGCAACAAATGCCGCACTTTCAAATAAAGTCGCTAGGAACAGCGGAGATCCCAAAAAGTAAACAAAAGTAAAAGTCTAATATCTTGAAAACCGGTGAATATTTTTCGATGAAATTTGGTAGATATTCGTTTTCGCTCTTTCTGAACCGAGCGACATCACTTTCGTGCCAATTCATTAACTTTTTTGAAGGTGGGAGGGTCCCTTTAAAGCAAATGCGCTTTTAAGCAATTTTTAGTAACTTCTGTGACGTTCAACGTTAATGCGAGAGAAATCCTTAAATGTTTTTTCAATGAATTTGCACGAGGGTGATTCATTTTGGATGATGCTGATCGTTGACGGTTATTCAATAGCTCTAGCTATTGAATAACCACTCTATCTATTCCGTATGGCTTATCATCCATGATCATCTGAACTGAGCTAGTTCGGGAAACACTCCCGCAAAAATCGGTTACACTTGACTTTTTGAATGAGTAAATCCCCAACGAACGTCGCATTAAAGAAACATTTAATCCTCTGAGGTCAACCTAGTAAAGTGTAGATCTTGGGGGTTTGTAGGGAGGGGATTTTCGGGAGGGGTGTCTGGGTCGCAACTGGGTCATGACCCCAATCCCGGGAGCCGTGGCCACTCTGTCCAATGTCCATCTTCCACGTCACTTCCGTTCGTTTCGTGGTTGGCCACCTCCTGAGACACAATGCTACTATATTGCGAAATATCATCAGTTCCCAAAGTTCCAACGCGGCCCAGCGCCCCGGGCAATCAGTGCTTGAGGCTCTTTGTAGCGGAACGATAATTGAAGTTCCCATTCTATATAAAGACTTTGAAAATGATGACCATCGTCACTCAAAAAGTGAACAGAAAGGCAATCGCCTGCTCCAGAGACCAGACGAGCGTCATCTCTTCCACCTTCGAAAGGTAGCTGTTTTCATATACCTTCAGTCAGTTTCTCTCATAACAGTCTGATGTTTGTTGCTGCTTTGTATTCCTGATGAATCTCCTTTAATATGTTAGGTTATTTATTCAGCGTAACATTAAAAATGGTTTTAATTTTGACAAACTATCCTTACGGTTATATCGAAACGTAACAAGAAAAAAGGTAGAAAAGGCAAAGTAATTTTTAACTATCATGTAAAGCACGCAATCACTGAAGAACTGTCCACTATTGTCTTCAAGCGGCCTGAACATGATCATTGGGCGTGCTGTGCTCTCTTCCCATCACCTGACCTGCCGCCGGTGCCATCTTCCCTGGCCGCAGTCGACGAACACTGAGGCGCCCTCCTCCTGTGATGGGACCCACCATGGCTGACTACACCGGCATCTTCGGACCCAAGAAACCAGTGGCCACCACCACCTCCCAGGGCGGTGGCGGTGGCGGCACCCGTCACCGGACCCCGCGGCGTCCGGCGGCGGCGGCGGGGGCGGGGGCGGGGGCGGTGGCGGGCGGCGCGCTCCCCTGGCTGCTGCTGGCGGCACTGGCGGTGCTGGGCCCGGCGCCGGCGGCCGGCCACTGCCAGTGCGGCCTGCTGGTGATGCTGGAGTCGACTGGAGGTCGGCCCTGGACTCTGGGCGAGACGGTGATGGAGACGGGACCGCGACCGGCCGACTGTCGTCAGCCCTCCGCTGAGATCGACTGCCTCAACTCCTGCGCCAACACGGTAAATTCAAACGGGGAATATGTTAGCATTTACAATTAAAAATGACAGTTTTTTTCAGATATTGTATACCTACATATGATTTGTGATGGAGACACATGTAGCTCAAACGAACTGAACGGAGGTTCTGTAGTTAATCATTCTAGCTTTTCTTTTGATATCGGTATTTTTAAATACACATGTAATTGTTTTATAAAGCGTTGTGCTGAACAGCGTTTTAAACAAAAACCATAAAAAGAGCAATTGCCTGTAGAGATTCGTCTCCACCAAGTGCCTGTTATTTCAATGATATCTAGTATAATGATAACCTAGTATAATGAATCCGTACTTTTCCTACTTACACGTAAAATGCGGATGATAGTTCAGATAAGTCGTACGACCATCCTCCTCAGGGCCTCGGCTAAGGAATTTTGACTGGTGGGCCACTTGGGCAGCGACATGGACTGACCTTCGTAGCCATAGCCCCCCCCCCCCCAATTTTCGATTTCTCTCCAGATTTCGGCCACTTTATTCTGCAAAAACGTCAGGATGGCATTAAAAAAATGTAAAAAAACGGTGTTTGATCCCCCCCCCCCCCCGACTCTTCAGAGAGAGGAGAGAGTAGGGACCCACAACCCTCTCAGTGGTGATACTCCGGCGGTGCACATAAAATCGCACAAGTATACACAAAATATTGACGCAGATTATTAAACTTTGGACGATAACTTACGGCCGGTCGGATGTTAAAAATCAGCGAGCCCTGAGTGGATCACTCGCCAACTAGTCGGAGATTCGGAAGCGGTCGGACGGGATCGGGCGTTGTCGGGTGGATCGGGAGGAATTGTGAGCAGCACGAGTGCAACTTTATTTATAAAGTGGGTTGTAGCAGGAACCCCAAAAGGGGGTTGTAGGAGCAACCCCAAATGATCATTAAGCCTATTGGTGTCGCATGGAAAAGAATTGACTCAAAAGCCCAACTGGCTTATATCGTGTCTATCGGCGAGCCGTCTGAGATCGCTCGCAGGCTTATCCCCGACCGTCTACTGGTCTGTTCTTTATTCGTAGTTTTTCTTGTAACCGACTGGTCTGCGGCAGATGCTTATGTGACTGCAACCACTCGGTCGATCGGAAAGCTTGCAAGAACTCTCGCAGACCTCGATTGGCCAAAGTGGTGATGTTGCGGGGAGAGTCACCCCCAATGAAAAGTATAATAACATCCTCAGAAATTTTAAAATTGCATCATCACGACGTTTTTGTCGTGAAAGCATACCTATTATAGTGTAGGAATAAAGACTAAAAATGTTCCAATGTACGATTTCCACCGTCCTACTCGTACTGTCGCGCTTGCAATGTTTTTTTATATCTTTAATGACAACATTTGAAGGTTTTTTTTGTACTTTCCACAAGAACTTGATGTCAGGTATAATAATTAGTTTTTCCACATTACCTGTAAAAACTGCACTTAAAATGAGGCTGAGGACGAGTTTCTTTTTAATAAAGAGACATCCTCATACGACTTTTTATACGTCGCCCCCCTAACGCTATACCAATTTGGCCACACTGAGCCGCCGACACTATCTGTAAATTGTAATTGACAGAGGCAGACGTCTTTCACGATTATTACATAAAATTTAAAGCCTCGGTCACACTTCACCGGATTGGACCAACGGACGAGAAACGGACGAGAGCTGTCAGCGTCCGGTGATGTCCGTTTGTTTCCGTCGGACGTCCGTTTGTCATCCGTTAATATCCGTTCCATGTCCGGTGGTGTCCGATTGAGCAAACCGGACACCACCGGACATGGAACGGATATTCGGATGAGAAACGGACGTCCAACGGAAACGAACGGACATCCCCCGGACATCACCGGACGCCGTCCGTTTCTCGTCCATTGGTCCAATCCGGTGAAGTGTGACAGGGGCTTAACCTACGGCTGTCTCAAGAAACCGGGAATGGTGATGGTATTAGGCGGGCAACGACGATCAAGTTCTTACTTTTAATAAATGCAACAATCAAACAATGTATAGTAAAGCCTCAGTCTCTGTCTGTATCACAATGTTACCTACGTCGTGATGTAAAATGTGAAAACTTAGATTTTTTCGGAAAATTACTGGTGGGCCAAATCTTTGAGGCTGGTGGGCCATTTCGGGTCACTGGTGGGCCATTTGGCCCACCAGTTAACATGTTAGCCGAGGCCCTGATCCTCCTGCTTAACTCCTTGGTTTCTTCACCAGATTGGGGCAATAATTGAAACTGACAGGTTAAGAATATCCTGCTAAGCTCTTTACAAGAACAAAGATAGGTCGCCTGTTTTCCATTACCTGTTCACGGGTAGCCCACGCAGAACCATGAATGGATGAGCGCACTCCAGGAGCGTCCCCCAACAGTGAGATAAGATCAGGGAGCCGGGGGGACGGGCCCTTATTTCCGCCCGGCGCGGCGACGGCGCGGTGGCACGCGTGGAGAGGCCACTCATTACCTGAGGACACTGCACTTTCGCTTTCCGTAGGCGAAAGTGAAAGGTTAACGAGTTTCAGTTGACGTACCAGTACATGCTATTTTAGCAAATCTTCTCTTGTATAGCGTTAAATGTAATCGTCAAGGAGTGTTATCTTGTGTTTTGCTTCTTCTGTTTCACTCTACTACGTTGTAAGGGCAATGGAAATCGTTTGATTATAATCAATGTTAATGTTTTCAGACTGTGGTCCTGACTGGCGACATGAACCTTCGAATGCTGCCTGTTCGACTCTCCATTGAAACTCAACGTCACGTCTGTCTGACTCTTCGGCCTCAAGAAACTCGGGTATGTTTTTCATCCCTTTTCTTTTTTTTACGCGAAAGTCCTGTTGGTTGGGATTGCTGCTAACGTGATTGGAGGCAATGATAACTATATTTGGTCTGCCACTAGAATCATAAGAGCATAGAATGGACACCGCTGTAAAGAGTTTTCTGCGAGGTCAAGACGAGAGCTGCAGCTAACTTGTTTAGTTTGGTTTACCATTGTACTGTTAAGCCGTTTTAAACTTTAAGCATTTTATGTAAGGTGCAGTAGTTTGATCACCGTATAACTATCTGCCCTGCCATTCCAAGACCTCCGAGCCGAACACCATCATGGAACGAACTGCCAGACGTCTGTCTGTGGGAGGATTCTACCGCTACTGCTCTCACGACTGGATGCACACCGGTGTCGTGTTTCCCGACAAAATCTGCTGCCTGGAAAACAAGGTGGTCGAGTGAGTACTGACGGTCGACTGTTTGATCATGCATTTTGATCATGCATTGCATGATCAAACGATTATAATTTTAGTCATATATGTACCTATTCAGGACCTCAGAAAAAGTAAGCTGTTGCGCCCAAGACGAACATCTTTGCCAAAGTTGTATTTGTATTATGATGGTAGAAAATGACCTTATGCTCATGATACAATGAAATGATATTAAAGTAAGTCCAAAAAGTATTATGATACATTTCGACTTGCGTCGTCTTCAGAATGTACATTTTCGGAATTGACAATTGACAATTGACATTCTGAAGACGACGCAATTCGAAATATATCATAATACTTTTTGGACTTATTTTAATATCATTTCATTGTATCATGAGCATAAGGTCATTTTCTAGCATCATAATATTCATAATTATGCCCAAATTAGCCATAGCTCACCTCCAACAAGTTGTATTTGCTTTCATTGTTTAAATCTTTTGAGCTATTTCTTATATTGCCATGGAAAAATGTGTCTAATCCATATTTTGAGATTTTTCCATGCTCTCACAACAGGGTAACTTAACAATAGTGCTGCAGAAGCCGAATATTTATTTTAGTAAAAAGAGAAAACTATAGTTTAGGTATTCATGTAACCTTTTTATTCCAGCTGTAATGACATCAAGGAGCCTAAAGCGCTGCCATTTAGAACAATATTCCGGAAGAGACGTCAAATCCTCTTCAGGAACGTTGCTAAGCGCTCGATTAATCGGTCAACAGCCCAGTTCAGCGATGCTGCAGGGAAACCGCCTGTCAAGGTGGCGAATCCTCGAGCCCACCTATTTGGCCCGCGCATTGGTCGTGCGTTTTACGCCCCTTACCAGTACACTGATAAGGCTAACCCAGATGAGCTCTAGAATAAGCTTCGCTCTGGTTTTAGCAAAGCGTGTATCGTAAGCGCATGACATGTTTCGCTGTGACATTTCCATGTTTATGTGTGGCTGTGAAGTAACCAGTTGCGGATTATTTCCATCGTAATTTGTGGTGTTTTGCTATCTCTGATTGAACGATGCGTACGCTTAAATATTTAAATGGTGACACCACTACAAAGTGCATTATGTTCGATGAACTACATGGTTGAAACATGTGATGTGGCTGTGATTCATACATGCTAGCAATCCACGAGCTTCCCATAAACCGTTTGGCTGAATACACATTTTGATCTCGGGCTTATTTTAATCTGACATTAGCAGAAGTTCCACCGACCGATCGTACGCAGAGTCGCTCAATCAAACATTTGATCTCGGGCTTATTTTAATCTGACATTAGCAGAAGTTCCACCGACAGATTGTACGCAGAGTCGCTCAATCAAACAACCACCGGGCGATCGTCACAACGCGGGCAGACTATGACCAAGCTGTATGTAGGGTGCAGAGGAAGCTAGAACAGCTTTATGCTAGCTGTTCGTCTGATATAAGGACGACTAAAAACTCACCTCTAGTATGCTTAAATCGATCATCTCCTGGACGCGTGTTATAAGCTGTCCACACACAGATGTCAGAGCAATCAAATTTTAACGGGACCAGGGCCTTAGCTGGGCCGTATTGGCTGTCACGTGACCCCACCTATACATAGTGAACTGAGCCTGGCTCAAACTTGGTGGCCACACAGTGAGCGCTGAACATGGTACAGTCCACAGCAGAAGCAATGTATTGTGTATTGTGTATTGTGTATTGTGCCAAGCCAACCACAGACCCAGCGGCCCATTTACAGTGGCAGTCATGCCCATAAAATACAAAAAAAAACACTACATACTACTACAAAGCACGATACATTGTCTCAGATGTAAGCACCCTGAGAACGAGCGAAATCACACACATCAGAATGGATGCAGTTCGACGGAGCCAACATATCTGCATTCGGAATTTTCTGTAGAAAATTGTTGCATAGCACAGGAATGCGAATGAAAAGTCCCGACTTTACAGTGTTCACTCTGCCGAATGCGACATGAAACAGTGCTGGCTGCCGAGAACGTCTGTTAGGGACCGCCAGACCAAACAGACTCAGAAGGTGAGGACAGTCGATCCGTCCATGGTGCAATCCCAAAACCAGGCGGAGATCGGCTTGAATAAAGCGCGATTTCAAAGAACACATGCCAAATCGAACAAGAAGCGTCTCATAACTTATGGGCAGGTCGCGACCGTGGGTGTTGGATGCCAGCCAAGACAAGAAGCGATGCTGCATGCGCTCGAGCCGCGCCAGATGTGTTACTGCTGCGCCACTCCACACAACGCTGCCATACTCAGCAATGGAGCGAACATGGGCATTGTACGCGGCGATCAGCGCACTATGGTCAAACTTGACCCGCCGGGGACACCGAGGCAGTTGGACACCTCGCATAATCATCCCCAACATTTTCTTGCATTTCCGCACGGTCACATCGACATGCTGAGCAAACGTAAGCTTCGCGTCCAATATAACACCCAGATCACGCACCTCATGACAGCGAGTAAGCTCATGACTATCCAGTCTGTACACGGCGCGAACAGGAGATGACTTGAGTGTAAATGTTATACACTGACATTTGCTCGGGTTGAGTTTTAGCTTCCAGGTTTTAGCCCAGCCACATAGTCGGTCTATATCCCTCTGTAGGACTGCAACATCTTCAGTAGATTCTACGCGGTGGAAGAGCTTCACATCATCGGCATATAACAGACAATCAGGTTCGATGCACTTTGGGATGTCAGCAACATAACACAAAAACATTAGGGGGCCCAAAATGCTGCCCTCCGGCACGCCCGACCGCACAGCGGTCCACATGGAGTGCTTGCCATTCAGGACGACACGCTGCATGCGATCGCTGAGGTAGGACGTCAGCCAGGTGTGAGCGAGGCCAGTGATTTGAAAAGAATAGCGGAGTTTGTGAAGGAGCAAGGTGTGGTTGACAGACGTGAATGCAGACGAAAAGTCTGTGTAAATGGCGTCGGTTTGTTTGCCTTTGGAAATGGAGGACCAGCAGTGGTTAAGGAAGCAGGAGAGGTTGGTGACGCATGAGCGGCCAGGCAGAAAACCGTGCTGATTGGGAGGAATGGCTGGCAAACACGCTGGCAGAAGGTTCTCAAATACAACTCTTTCCAGAATTTTTGAGCAGATAGGCAGCAATGACACCGGCCGATAATTTTCTGGATTTTTCTTAGAGCCCTTCTTGTGAACACTCACAACGTTAGCCCTCCTCCAGTACAACGGAAACGACCCTCGCGACACAGACATTTCGCACAATATTTCAATGGGAACAGCCAGCTCATCAGCACATTCTCGCAGAATGCGCGCACTGAGACCGTCCGGGCCGCAGGCCTTGTGCGGACTCAGCTCTCTCAGTAGCTGCGCGACCCGGCCGTGCGGCACCGCAAACCGGTCAATGCCAGGGGCACTGAGCTCGGGCGCTGCCGGCAACGCCTCTACCGCCGGGTCGCTAAACTTAAGGGCAAAGCACGCATTCAAGCAGTTGGCACGCTCAACATCGCTGCGGAGAGCGCGGCCACCGAATTCCAGGACGGGTGAAACGTGCTTGGATGATTTAATGGCTTTGATAAAAGACCAGTAACGTTTCGGATTGTCTTTAAAATCACGAACGAGACTTAAAAGATAATCGCGGTACTTGCTAGCTGCTTGACGTTTGAACGCGGCCCTGACAGTGGAAAAACGTCCTAAATTTTCAGCAGACGGATCGGCCTTTTTACGACGGTGGGCTGCTTCCTTCTCTCGGAGAAGGTTCCTGACCGATTTATCGAACCAAGGTGGGTACTTTGTCTTAAGTTCCACCATCGGAACATGATCAGTGATGGCTGCTAATACAAGGTCATAGAACAGCGACACAGCGCCATCTAGGTCACAGTCACGCAGACAATGCCACGGCAGGAGACGTAAGGCATTGCGGAGTCCAGCAAAGTCCGCCCGTTTATAGTTGTACACAGTGGTTCTGGAAACACGCGGAGTACGGCCACAGTTTACAGAGAACAAAGTTGTGACCATACGATGGTCCGAGTCGAAGACACCGTCAGTCGGCTCTGAAGTCGCTACCGCGCCGTGTGTGAGTGCCAAGTCCAGAATATTACCACCGCGCGTAGGAGAAGTCACAGACTGGTGCACGTCGCACTCAGCAAGTGCGTCAAGAAACACAGTAGCACGTGTAGTGCGTCGCAGCAGCACAGGATCCTGCGTGCTGGACCACTGTATCACTGACCACTGTATGTGGGGTTTCAGTTACGGTTATGTTCTGCTTCTGAAGCTTACGAACGATTAACCAGACTACAATGAAACTTTGAATGTAGCTTATATGTATCGTCACCCTTGCAGCTGCAACTTTAGCTATTGACATCTTATTTTCGATCACTCCGCATTAAACAATCGCCAGTCAAAGCCAACCGTTGAGATTGGTAAAACCCTACATTACTTTAGCGGTGGGCTGTACATACAATGTCGTCTGACCCTAGCTCAGGTCACCGGATGCCTCAATGGTCAAAATAACTCAAACACTAGATAACCATCGACAGTGGGAAGAAACTCTGGAGAATGGAAAGGACATAGGGCGGAACACGATCATAAATCGAGTGGCAAAAACCATCGCGGCAAAGTCGTCGTTGAAACGTGAACGGTCGCACAAAAATCGGCAGAGTAGTGACATCCCGTCTCTAAGCAGGCCGTTCATCGCTATATGCGGCCCCGCGTGCAACTGAGCGCGCTGTAACTGTGCAGGCGGTCCAGACTGACAGCAGCATATGTAGAGGGAAACGATTGGACTTCTCGCGAGTTGGCTCAGCGGCATTCAACCTGGATATGAAGCTGGTGCTCCTCTCAGACCGGCAGTCTCCATTGTTGAGCTACACTAGCCATCGAACCTCCGAAATGACTGTGTCCATTGGCTAGCTCAAAACTCGTGTTCCCGACATAATGAGCTTACGTGGCTTCTCAGACCACCACCATTGTGCACGCGGGACAAATCGCACTGGTCTCCGTGGAGGAAGCGTTGAATGAGACTGGGCGTCGGCGATAGGGTGACGGAGGGAGCGGAAGCCGAGGTAACAGCGGTCAAACCTTTTTTTTCCAATTGGACGCTCGTATTTTTAGTGTTTTTTCTTGCATGTGATGTAAGGGCCATCACTGTATGTACGTCATTCAGAACTTAAGTGTGGATACGTTTGCGGTATTCCCCGTTCGGATCTTTTAAATTTTAGCATGCACATTGCATTAACGATTGGTTTCCATGCAGTCCAACGCATTTACGGATATTGTTACACGCACAAACACTTGAGATACTCGTGTGTCGTGGTTTATAAATGGTTTTTGATCCCAAGAACTTTGTGCCGTATGGGTGGGTATGCCGCTGTTCTCGATTTCTGAAAAGAATATGTGGTATACCTAATATAGTTCGGTGAACTAACTTTTCACTTACCACGGCCGTGCAACTTTATTTAGTTTCTATACAGTACACCGCAGACTATGTAAATGGGACATTCCCAGCATTTATTGATCACAGTTCTTTGGTATTGAGAAATGACAAGCGTTATTGAATTGAAACGACCAGTTCAGGCCAGTTCAATGCCTTTATACGTTCAGGTAGGTAAGTACCTCTCAACAGGTGCAGACCGGGAAGGTTGGGTCCTCCTGGTGATTCGGGTCTAACGGTTCCCAATGATCACTAGTTGTTGGCAAAAAGGGTGCCGCCTGTATCCCCTCCCGATCGCTCTTACCGTCCATTGGACCATAGGTAACGGTATACCGTTACCTATGGGGCATGTATACCGTTAGGGGCAGGTATACCTGCCCCTCGACCCGTTAGGTTTTGACTTCTGGTACCAGTGGACCACGCCCCACGGTGTTTCGTCATCCATATTGGCATATTTTCAGGTTTAGTTTTGTGAGAACATTAGCTGTCACATGGAGCAGCTTTCGCAGCTTTCAAAGAAATGAATGAAGAATTTTGGTATGGACTTAGGATTCCACATGGACACTTTTAGGTCTCCAAATCACAAGTAGCAGGACATATTATTTTAGTTTTGTTGCGTTGGGACCATTTAGTACCTGTCGCGTCATAGGACACAAACATAGAGCAGCGTTATTGGAGGAAACATTGGGCTACCAAGGTGGTGACAAAAATCTGCTGGACCACCATATCTTGCAGCCTTCCGGAAGGCCTGGACACCAAAGCCATCAATGCAATGGTCCTACCCACCCTACGGGTAGTTTTTCCGAAAAGAGATCATTCACCCCGGTCTTGAAGGGTGCTCACTTGTGCGCCTTTAGTCATTCAGGCTGGTTAACTCATAGACCACTATATATGTATGTATAGGCCACATAATTATGTAATATGTAGTGGTCTATGGTTAACTCCACCAGCCTCTCAATCAATTCTGATTGCTCAAGCATTTACTTTACCTTGCGGTATGGTGCAGCATGGCAGCATGGCGGACTGGTCTCCTGGGCCCTCTGTGGGGACTGATCAATAGGTCTGAGGGCTGGGATGAGGGACAAAAGGAAGATGGTCAAAGTCTCCCATCAAAGATGGTCGGAAGACTGCATGGTGTCACCAGTGGTGGACACTTCGATAACTCCCATCGATACCTAACGATTATCGAAGTCGTTATCGACGATAACGTTTTTTCAAGTCTAGTCTATCGTTATTGATCCTCGTCATCGAAGTAGCGATATCGAAGTCCCCGTTTCGGTCAATCGATAACGACAACTTCATCAAATACGACGCGAGCGTATTAAAGTTCACCTTCAACATGTGGTTTTGAACTGAGATAGCAGTTTTGTAGATTGAGCACTGAAAAATGCTATTTGGAATGTCTTTTGGCCCAAAAAGCTCTGTCGCCAAGCCAGATGTTCAAGTTTTTGTTTGTACGATTGCTTGTTTGTTTGTACGAGAAAATTAACCTTTTCATTGTTCTAAGCCTTCCTTTTTGTGTAAGCAGCTGGGTATTCTGGATTGTTGTATGAGCAAAGGAGTTAACCCGCGCACCGACGGGGGGGGCGGATATCCGCCCCCCTGAGGTTTTTCGCGGATAGCGGGAAAACCGCGGCGCGTAGCGCCGCGAAATTTGGTATGACATTAACCTCATCAATTTTACACATGGTGTGCAAGTTTGAACCTCCTAACTTTTAAGGTCAGGTCACCAGGTCACTTTGAATGACCCAACCTCAAGTCACTTTTTTGCAACTTTGTCACCGTGCCAGAGCTACAGTAGATGTCGGAGGCCTTTGAGTTTGAAAGTCGCAGGATGTTATAAGGTCATTAGTAGCTACAATTTTTATATCCCGGAATTTCGATGTCGGTGACCTAAGGTCAGGTCAATTTCGCGACCTCCCCATTATAAGTCAATGGGGGAAAAATCAACTCCCTGTTTTTACCACTAAAACGGGTCGGAATGGCCCCATATACCATACATGACTTCATATACGATCAACCTTCACTACCTTGAGGTCTGTTTTGCTGTTGGGCAGCTGTAAGGTCCTGTGACGTCATCAAAGGTCACCAGCGGTTTTTTGCCAATAACTCCGTACAGGAACAAGATACAGCCGCGCGGATGGTCTCATTGTGTTCAGCTCGTCAAGACTCATCGAATGATATACATGATGACCTCGAGGTCACGTGACCTGAGGTCAACCTTTGACCTTGACCTTTCGAGGTCAACATATATATCATTCGATGCGGATTGGCGAGAGGACCACGATAATGCCCTTAGTTTGTTCCTATCTTGACTAATTCGAAAGTTATTCGAGAAAAACTCTCTCCATATCTAGCGCCGCCATTTTGACTTTTTCGACCCCTGTGACGTCATCTTTGACCTGACCTGAAAATGAACTTTGTTTTCCGTGCGTATCCGATGCTGTTTACCGCTTGTCGCTATCTTGCTTCGTTCTCGAGATCTCAGGGGGGGCGGTCATCCGCCCCCCCCCCCCCCCCCCCCGTCGGTGCGAAGTTGGCGCAGACCCCCGTCGGTGCGCGGGTTAAAGATTAATTAGAAGCTTATTCCTGTCAAACATTGTATCCTTTCGATTTCTTTCTTTTTCGAAGTTATCGTTATCGTTATCTGTTATCGAAGTGAGCAGTTTGGTTATCGAGTTATCGTTATCGAAGTCGCTGACCTTAAAATTTAGGTTATCGAATTATCGTTATCGAAGTCCAGGTCAAGTTACGGGTACCCACCACTGGTTGTCACTCTGAAAATTTATTTTTGTGGCTCTTATGACTGATTTTAGAATACTAACCAGAACTTTTCCCAGCATTCACCACAAAAATGCTATCATGAAATCATAGAGCTAATAGGACTCTTGTTAAAATTAAAAATAATTGCTATGGTTCGGGCGCTAGCCACCAGGCCAATACCTACGATACTGATTAGGAAGAGCACGGGAGATGACTGATTTGGGTACCTACCTAGTACCTACCTATGCATCATGGCCGGGAGAATCTTGAAGACTGAAGAACAGTTATTGCTGTGCACTTCGAGTCCTGTTGCATCTTTTATACTTACATCAAATGTTGATGCCGGCTCATAATAGAAAATTCACAAACATCTATTCACCAACATCGCGATGGACCATCCATCGATGCCGCTTGCCGTACGACTCCTCAGTGCCCTGGTACGACCCTAGTGCTGTTCTGTCCTGTCCTCTGGCGGCTAGGTCTGCAGCGCCACCTACCACAATTACTGCCTCAAGAAGATGTTTTCGGTGGTGATCCGTGATCGGATACCCTGCAGGAATAGATATATGTATACCCCAGACTGGTTCGCCAATCGTCATGCCTGGCATTTGACACCAGAAACGTGAATTGATCTGAGAAAATGGATCAATATTTATTAAGTCTTAGCTTGCGTACCTTGATCTAGATTCTAGGATCATAAATGTACCTACCTAATGGATTTTCCGCGAGAGGGTCAGAGATGAGGTCATAGGTGTATAGGTACCCAACTGAACATGATTTCTGTCGAGAGACCAAAGTGGGATCATGGATCTTAGTAGTTGGAACGTAACACGTTGACATCAAAACGGAGGTGGTGTGGAAACGCCCCATTCTTAATTGAACAAATCAGAACGGGGCGCTTTCACGCCACTGTCCTCTCCACTTCATATATCATAGCAACAAACGATATGTGTGTATGTATGTATGTATGAATGTATTGTATTGTATTTTGACATCAAAAGACTTCTACATATGGCGTGGTGATTATGGCTTACGGCTCGGCTGAATATACCATCGGACTTCAAGGACATTATGCGAAGTCACGGGCACCGGCGTACCTTTCCATTTCAGTTGTACCGAATTGTCAATAGAAATATATCAAACGATAATTGGGAGTATGTGACTTTGGTCCAAATGAAGGAGCAGATTTATAGTCTTATAAAAGTCCAGTCGCATCGCGATATTTTTTTTTTTTTTTTAATTGTCAATGGCCGTCTTAGACCCGTATGAAATTCTTGACTGATCAGAAATTGTCACCAGTCACAGTGACACTGCAAGGTTAAAAGGTCTTTTGCCGTCCTCCAGCATGGGTAGTTATCAGTTTACCGATCGACAGAACGATCGACAAAACGCTACAACAATAGCGTTTCAGCGCGTAGTAGTGCGGCATGTTTCACGTGTTGTGGCCGTCTCACCTAACAGGCATAAAGCTGTCAAACAGGTTTGCCAGGTGGTTTGAATGGCAGGCTACACTCAGCGTCGCACTTGGCATTGCGCAGCTGAAGAGGAAAATCACTGGCGCAGCGTCATGAAATCCTCCTGTCCGTGGCGGATTTGGTGGGCGATTCCTATCACTCCCAGTTGGAGTAGATCCGTGCTTGGTGTGGCTCAGTGGGCTGAGTGTGACTAATTGTAGCCCTGCCGGAATGACGGAGGCCCGTCCCTGCACTATAAACGCATGCATTTACCTGACACGGAACATCTATCGTGGTTTAATCCGTACCAATACGTTGAAGCAGTTTCCTTCCTTCAAATAAATACATTAAAACAGTGACTCATCAGAGCGTCATACGGACTGTGCGTTTGTTCCCATTTCCTTAAAATCATACGCAGAAATTTCATTAAAATTAACTATAGGTGTGCTTTTAGGCATCCGTCCTCGTACATGGACGCCTGACATTATATCAAGTTGCACGATGTGCATTTTTTTCACCACAGAGACTCACCCACAGGTAAGAGGGCCTTGAACCCACCTACATATACGTGATCGTTAATTGAATTATCTTTAAGCGTTACGCGCAGTTCGCGCTTATTATTGTCCCCGTACCAAATAAATAAATAAATAGTTTAACAAAAGTGCTGTAGCGCAAAACCACAGAAATGGTTGGATACCCCCATGCATTTTTCCATTCGTTGCCCATATGTTAAGAATATCCTCTCATAGCTGATTAAAATAGCAAATCACAGCAATGTGATTCAACTCAACATTCCATTTTCTCTTTAACCCATTGTTAGTGTTGGTATGCCTCATCTCTCAGCCAAAATAGTCGTATAATTATTTTTGTGTATTCCTTGTGCAAGTGGCAAAAAAATGCCCATAAATATCATCACATTCGATTCCCCTATACAAGTTCACTATACACAATAGACACATGGATGGGGCACTGCGCATGCATAGAATGATGAGGTCAAATGATGAAAGCGCCAGGCAGGGGCGACATAACACTAGTCGAGGATACACCCACAGTAGGTACTCGTACCTACATGTGAAATTAGTATAGTCGAAACTGAAAGGCATCACGCGGCAGGCTCGTCACTGATTCTGAATAATGGCATCAGTGGTTACAAACAAGGGACGACCACCATCGAAATGCGTCCGGTCCGCCAGTCACTGAATAAGGAATGTGAAGCTCACTGGTTCGGCAACAAACAGCACCACAGCGCACAACGTGCGAGCCAGGTCACGTGCGGTGACTATCACGAACAGGTCACAACTGCGCAGTCGCCTTTTGAACAAGGCGACGCGAGTGTCCGCACGAACAGACTCGGGGAACGACCCGAGGAGCAACCCGGCGGCATCCAACGGGATTAACAATATGTGTACAAAACCATAAAAAACATCGCTCACCAACATCACAAATTACAAGGCACTGTCACGTGTTCCAAAGTGCCCTATGAGCCTCTGAGTGACCTGGTCACCTTGAGGTGCCCTCGCCACCCCTGGAGGTCACATTGCTGACATCCCTGACCTCTGAGACCACCGCGACATCACACGAGGGCGTCGCGGCAGCCGCACTGTCCTCAGAAATGTCACAGCTCGACGCTACCGCGCCAGGACTGGCCCCAGCCGCAGCCGAGGACGCGCTGGCGTGAGACTCGGCCGTCTGATCGCCGCTGGCCGCCTCCAGATCTCCGCAGCTGTCTCTCTGCCGGTCGCTGCTGGACGCGCCGCTGGACGTCGATCCTTCCGTGTCCAGGCTGGCCGAGCTGCCCGCCACCGATCGGACGTTCCCCGGCACCCGCGGACAGATCAGCGGACTGGGGTACTTGTCGACGTCGATCTCGCAGTACGGAGGAGGCTCGCGCGAGATGTAGGAGGGTGGCAGACGCACCACCACGTCGTACGGAGGGGGCTCCGAGTCAGGCACCGGAACAGTCGCCACACTGCAACAGAAGAGAGAACAGGGTTAGTGAAAAACGCAGATGGAAAGATTGGAGTTATATAACACCATAATCTGTACCGAAAACTAGTTTTGAGTATTTTAAATCGTGCAGTCACGTGATGATATCATCAATGAAGAAATAATATTTTTGTTTATCGTCTGAAGGAGCGAAAACAAGTCAAATTTAGGCCGGAGTTTAAAGGTTATCAGAGGTAGATCAGCCACAAACGAGGACAGTTTCAGGTCAGGCTGGGGATAAAGGAAAAGTCCACCGTCCACAGCCCCAACAAAGAACGGTGGTGGAGCCGACCTAAGACCGCGAGGTCGTCAGCTTCAGGAAAACCGTTCAAATGAGACCGCGGCCCGCTAACCGCAGCCGCCGCGGCGGCGGGCTTTCCGCCACACCGTTTCACGAGCTGTATACCCTCTGGACCGGAGCGGGCCACCGAGGCGTTTCTTCCCACGACTCCCCTCCCCTCCACTCCCTTGGGGGGGAGTGTGCGGTCGAAGTTGACACGAATACGAGGCGCTTTAACCTCCCTAACTCGGCGCATGAACGCGCGGTCACGGAGCGGTCGATTGCCGTGGCACGCGGACCGCACCGGCCGAACACGCTCGTGATGAAGTGTTCACAGTCGAACACGCTGGTTTAGAGGTCATTCGCCACTGGAGCTGCAGGTGTGAAGCTTTAACACCCGTGGCTGGCGGCAGACTAATAAGCGCTCCGAAGGGCCTGTCAGGTTGTCGAATGGGTCCATCGCCCCTCATCGGACGGACTTGCCCAAGTTCATCAGCCTCGAGCCTCGCTGTGCCAGCTCAGCGGAAAGACGGTGCGTCATCATTATCTCTGAATGGGCATCATCAGACGTAACATCTCCACCAGATGACGGAGTTTGAGGACTCTGCAGCGCAGCTGTTCACAAAACTGCGGCACACCCGGCCCTTCAGAGCCCGTCAGACGGACACGGTGAAGTGCCGACCGGTCAGACGCGGAGCCAGGTGCGGCGCCGGAGCCAGGCATAGCACCGGAGCTAGCCACGGTGTTCGAGCCAGGCACGGCGTTGGAGCCAAGTCACGCCGCCGAAGCCATCCGCCGCGCCGCTATTGTCTCGGTGCACGGTCCAGCGCGCTCTAACGGAAGAGACGGCCACCGACCGGAGCCGCGTGTCAGCAACGGACGCCCCAGCAACCCCGCAGGCGCGGTTACGGCGGACCGGGATGAGGTGCGATGTCCAGGGCACACAGTCACGATATATGGAATCAGAGCGTTTGGTGGTTACTGGTTGAAATGCGGGCATGAGTAGGACAGGTTTGCAATAATAAGTAAATGATTACAAACGTCGACCCAAGTGACCTCAGTTTGACCTCGGGCGCGCACCGTAACCCGCTGAAGTCTCCCGAGCGAAGTTCTTTTACATTTGATTTGTGCGTACCGATTGAAGATGTGTCGCTGATTGATTAGTATAGTCATCAATTAACCTTGATTGTCATCTGACCTCCAACTTTCCGAAACAATCTGCGACGGGTATTCCGACCGCAGTAGCTCAGTAGGTATGTGACGTCATGATGTTACGTCACGGCCATCACAGCCACGTCACAGGTCTCTCTCCGTGAGTGCGTGATGATTCATAGTTAGACAGAGTAGCCACTATGCAAGGGCACGCGGCACTGCACAGTGCAGACTACAGAGACCCCTTCACGGCAGAAAAACAAGCGTCCGGGTAGCGATGACGTCACGGCTCTGGTCGTGAAATGTGACCCGGAGCGCGGGTGGTGCCTTTGAAGTGACACTGCGCTCTGCGCAACGAGCTAGTCTAACCTTTGGCGCGGACTGTGCATAATATTTAGACAGCTGCTCGCAGGAAGCGCTCGACGATGAACTGTGAACTGACCTATGGGCTTATCGTTGAGCGTCAGCACCAACATCCTGTGTGACGTAGCTCTGAGGATACAAAGAATGATAAATGAGAGGGAATGTCTGTGGCTCCCGCGATAGCGTGCCCGTCGCTACCGCAACTCTTCTGACCCGTTCTGAAGTCTACCCCATTAAATCCTTTCACGGCCGAGTGATTCATTTAACGGTAGCTCATCCGGCAGCTCTGAGCACACGCAACTATCGTGTCCGGTCGTCTTGGATTTATGGATCCAAGATCCGGTCCAGTCATATCTCCTACTTGACCCGGTGTCCTATTTCCGGCCGACTCTCTCCCCATACTCCACCCACACCGCCGTTAGATGAAGTCGATACGATTTCAACACGCGCACTTAGCAGACAAAGACACCGAGCGGATAAGGCGTCGTCACTTCCCGCCCCGTCGGCCCTTCACGCGCCGAGGGTTGGCGGGTTCCGGTCCCCCAGAGCGACCCGGATGACCCGCGGCGCGGCGAGTGGCCCTTCCCTTCCGGTTGACCTGTCTCGCCCGACCGCCGCGGGATCGGTGAGACACGCGTCGGCTCCCATCCGGGTCAGAAGTGCCGCGGGGAACGAGCGTTACCCGCAGCGGCGCGTCACGGGGTCGTACGGTGAATCACGGAACGGGAGACACCCATTTCTGTGTTACCGCGGGCCAACGCCCGGTCACATGACGGCCGTGACATCAGCGTGACGCAGCCACCGTCACCGTGACTTTCAGTAGGTACGGACGTCTCAGGGGGATGCCCGCGGCTCGCGTCTGAACACGCCTGGAAACTGCGGAAGTGACTCAGGGATTCGATCATCTCTTGACTTCTGAAGGATGCTTGACTTGGCTGGGACTGTGTGAGGAAGCAGCTTGGATACAAAGTTTGCTTAAAACAATGCCTCATCAGTTTGGATATTGCTGTTCAGTGATTTGACTGTCTCGGAAACGGACAACAACGAAACGTAAACACAATCATAACATTTTCTGCAGATTGACTCAGGCCGGTCACCAGAAAGGCTGAACAAAACGAAGCACTGAGCCAAGTGCAACACAAAGTTGTGTTGTGGAGAAAGTAAAGAAGTTCTTCTTTATCTCTCTCCGAACTTGTGTTGCTTGTCACCTTCACCTCTTTCCATTCTTCTGATACGCACTCCAACTTTCCCCGGCCATTCAGTTTTGTTTGTCTCACCACTGCTGACCCGCGCGACCTCAGTTTGACCTCGGGCGCGCATCGTGACCCGGTGGGGTTACCGAAGCGAGGCGGAGGTCGGCGCTAGAGCGAGACGAGCGCGTCTCGGTGCCCTGCTCGGTGCCAGGCGCGGCCTCCGGGACATGAGCGGTCGACCTCGACCGTCGGCCCCGGCACAGATCACGGGCTGGAGGATCGGTGACGGGAGTAGCCGGTCGGGGAACGTTAACTGATATCTTTGCACCTTACATGGTCGGGGAATGTGCTCCACTTCACGCAGCTCTATATCCTCTCATGAATAAGAAGTAGGTATGTGTCTCGTAAAGCGTAATGGGGACGGCCGAGGGCCGTGAGGTTAAGTGGAGAAAATTGCAGGTTGGAGGCGCCGGCGGCATTAGACGGCCCAAATCACTTTTGCCTCCGACTCGCCCTAACAGGAAGGAAGTGCACGAAGGTAAAGGAGCACTGACCTTGCTTTGGTCCACCGGTTTAGGGCACTGCTCGGATTTTACGTCCCATTAATTGCTGCATTCAGTGGAACAAGCAACTGTTTGCCCGCTTCTTCCCCGTTCGTTGTCGGAACCAGTAGGCAGGTAAATGACACTATTAGGCACAACCTGAGGTGCCTATTCACCAGCCACCAGGTGCCGAGTGCATCGCTCCATAATAGTTCCACGCACCAACTGCCAGACGATGCACAGCACAAAGAACCCCTCCCGGAGATCGATAATTCAAGGCCAGCAAGTCATCACACGCCAGACAGTGCCGGCTGGCCTTTTACGGACCGGACTGAAGTTGCATCATGTATCAAATCTCACTGATCTGACCGTCCCACTGCACCTTCCTGGATAGACGGCGATGTCCAGTGCGATAGCGGCACCAAACGGGAAAAAACAAAAGCCGAGCCGAGACGCCCGGTGATCGCTGCAAAGGCGGAACTCAAGGCGCGGAGGCGGTCTCTTTGGACAAGCAATCGGCCTTTAGAGTGGGGGCATGACAGGCACAGTCCAATCCATCACCTTGTTTGGCCTGTTGAGCCGCATGTAATCGCAGCCACGTCGCACTTATCGTAAGGCAAACGAGGCCTGACTGGGCGCAAACAGCCGCTCCCAGGGGCACTCCGAGCCGCCGCTGCACGCCGGCTGAAGGCTGCGGGGTGAAGAAACGGACGAAGGTCGGGTCCCGCCCCCGGAGCCGGCGCTCGCTTCCGGTTACACGCGCAATGCACCCGTCCATGACATCTCTGGCACGGCAGAGCTCGTTTATCGGTGTCTCGGAGGCCTCCTGGGAGCGGACGCCGTCTGTGGGAACACCAGGTGGCTGGCTCCCAGGACAATCGTGGGAGGGTGGGGCTGCGATGGAGCTGGGATGGGACGGCTGTCACGGCGCTGGGAGAGACTGTGGGAAGGGGACGGTGGGGAGAAGGAACCTGAAGTGCAGTGAAGCTGAAATTACTTGCCGAGTCACTGGGAAAAAAGGTCCGGGAAAACTTTCATAATGACTCCTGAAGAATAAAAGATTGGCTTCAGGCTATACTTCCGGCTATATCAACTCCTCGTAAATATCCACATGCCCGAAGATCCACACGCTAAGCACCCATTCCCTCGCCCTGCCGTTCAGGATTCCCCTGCCCTCACCCGTTCCATTTTCTCACCTGACTCTGTTCTGCGACTGGGGCTCGTTGCGCTTCGACATGATCCTGAGCACGATGATGACGGCGCACATGGCCAGGAAGAGGGCGCACAGGCCGGCGGTGACGCTGTAGCTCCTCGTCCAGTCGGTGGGCACAAACGGAGAAGGCGACGCTGTCGGTCCGCTCGGCGCCAGTGACGACGTCGTGACGCCGGGCGTCGTGGCCGTCACGGCTGTCGGCATTGTGTGGTAGGCCGGCGAGCGGCACAGGTCGGCCGAGTTTTCACACAGACACTGTACGAAACCCTGCAGCTGCTTCATGTGCCGCTCGTGGCAGATCTGGAACGTCTCCCGCAGGAGACCGGGGCTCAGATCCGAGGCCATCCTGAGAACTCTGAGGCGCTGATGAACCAGCAGATGGAAGCTCGATGACCAGAAGAGCTGGGACGGGAGTGTCACAGCCAACCCCGGCACCCGGCAGCACGCGACTGCCGGCGCGCGGGCGGTCGCTCTCTTTTAGCCGGCTGCCGGCTGGCGCTCGACGACGAACAGCTGGGGCTGAGCTCCGGTGCCGGCCGGTGGCGCCGCCTGCAGGCGCTGTGCACGGATCGTGCACGGTGTGCGCGCTGTGCATAGGGCGGCGGCCGGCGGCGGGGGCTGCACGTGTGTGCCAGGCGGCAGCCCGCTGCGACAGGACGGTGACCTGCCTGCCGTTCCAGCAGCTCGCACGCGGAACCGAGCTCAAAGAGACGTGCTCAGAATGCAGAGAGGGGGTTAACATCTGTCTGACGCTGGATGTGGGTGGCGCAGTGACCGAACGGAATCCTCTCTATATTGGGGCCTGGCAGCGACTGCAGTGCAGTCTCCTGCTTAGTGAGAATGGTCCAGTTTTAAGCATAGTGTCCGGTTTGGCCTCAAAATTAAAAAGTTACATTTACGACGTATTTTGTAATAATGACTTCATGAAAGCAGAACGAGCATTGGTAGCTAAAATTGCTTTTAAGTGCATGCATAATGCATATTGATCCGCTTATGATTGGAATGAAGATGGCCAAGGGAAGGCAGATTTTGCGTCGAAACTGCTATGCAATCTTTGAAATTCAAATAAGGCAATACCTATCTGTCTTCCAAGATAGACAGATAGGTATTTGACAGATAGCAGATCGGAAGGTATTTAAACAGTTGCTCAGACAGAGCGATAGGCATAGAATGAGAGTGTCATGCATTGTATTCCTATCTACATACATTATAGGTAGGTATGTAGAATAGATAGGAAAAATCCACGCAATATCGACAGCCTGCTCGCCGTATTTACCTGCAGCATAATGTTACAAAATGCCAACTTATGTTACCGACAGACAAATAGCTCACATTTCTTGTTATTGTAATACAAAGTGAATTTTAACAAAATATAAACGATAATTCATTCAAAATAAGGCACTTGAATGTCCGAGGCAAAGGACGATACCAGCCAGAAAATGCAAGATTCAGTCACAGTGTGATTTATTTAATAGTCTTAATAGATTCATTTGTATCATTTATTTTATTAATTACACTATGATTCAACTTAACAAGATTTAAAGAAGCCTACGACATATCTGCAAAACAAAGGAAGTCGCCCGCCACCGGCTGAACATGGGATCATGTGAATTACGAAAGCAGAGTCCCTGTAGTGGAGGAATTTCGGCAAGTATGGCTACGAGTCTACGGTTCTCTCATTCACGAAAAAAATATCGAAGGAATAAGTATTGGTGTCTGATTTAAATCACAATAACGAGATATGCATGTATTTGGATTTAGAAGGATAGATAAATAACTTGTGCAAGCATACATACAGCAAACCAGCATCATTGATCGCCATATACGAAGACTTGATTGGCTCATATATTTGCACAGATGAGCCCTGAATAAAATGAATAATCAACCATGACCTTCACTAAGGAAATGCAGCGCAGAATGATCTTTACTGTGAATTTCCACTCATCCTGGAACAAAGCCACAACTCGGTGTGATGCGCACTTTATAAAGAGAACACTCGCGTACAACCGTCCACACCATCTGATTTCACCAGGTGTTGTATCAGCTGGCGCCTGCGGGTGACCTGACCCTGCCGCCTCTCTTTGGCAAGTCATGGACGCGTGTACCGGCTGAGGTCTGGTATAAACCGGTCCCGTGGGCCGACTGGGTCGCCGGAGCCGCGGCAGCCACACCGCACCGGCCGCAAGGTCGTCAGACCGGACAGCACAGCTCGGGCACAACACACGGGAGTAGCGCGGAGTGGTAACATCGCGATGGCACGTTTACATGCGGTGAATGGTGCATGCGCTGAAGATTACGTTACTAGAAATACGCAGGCCTTTGGAAGTAGGAAATTTGCAACGCGTCGACTTTTTGAACATAAGTACGAATCGATTTAAAAGAACAGCTTCGTTTTTAATGTTTATCAACGAATAATTAAGTGTTACGCTTCGAACAGTGCCCACCTAGTTATTTACATATTTTCTTGTTTTGAACGGAAATGTAGCATATATGCTCGCCTTTGATAAGCCGATTGTTCACTGTTGTGGCTAAAAGAACGAAAAACGCTTTGTTCCTTAATTTTTTTTCAGTTGGTTTGGTTCTAATATAGGATTTCCTCAAGGAAAAATTGCTTCATGTCAACTTGTGCTTTGGATAATAGGTGATGTTTTCTGTTTACAATAGCATTAACGTGAATCCCTGACTTCGCCTTCCTATTCCGCTGTATTGCTGGTATGACGTCCATAGAGTAACGGACAAGACGTCAAGCTTATCGAATCATGTCTGAAACTATGCACCCTGGCAACTCACAGTGTCACTTTAACAGCACGAAACCTGAGCTGTGTGTACCAAAAGAGTTTTTCTTGTATAGCCATGATATGAGGTTTATTGCAAAACATCGTGCACATTACGTGTGATAAGACACTGTTCCTCACGTCTTTAATTAAAATAAATACTCCCGCCGTATCGAAGGCATTAGATCCATTGTTTCGATCCATTATCCATCTGATCCATTGATCCATTGTCACCTTTGCTTCGAATTGATTTTTAAATATACAATAGGAATAGCATTGCTCTTATTTTTGCGCTTTATTTTGTATATACAAAAACTTGTTCGGAAATGCCTGCAATACATGGTTCGCACATCCGGTACTCATTTAATGCGACATGAATAAATGTTGTAAATATACCTATGTCCCCATGCTTACTTCAGATTAATAAAACAAGAATCAGTACTGCTGGATTTTCTCCGTTTCATTGGATTGATTTATAGTTGTGTAATCATATTTTATTATATGTTATATTTTATAATAATATAAAATGCAAAATGATTTTCATCGGATTCACCCGTGCAGAATGATGTCTGTGTACAAAAATGATGTGCAATGACCACCAAACAGTTCCCAAAAGCAGCCTCCAGTCCTAATCAACCAATTTTGGATGTTGCTACTTGTTCACGAATAAACAGGGTGCCTATGTAGATAAGTTTTACGGTAGTGTCATAGAGTATTGCATTTCATAGTATCACTTCCCAATCACGATGGCTTGAGACCAAAGGTGAAACACAGACAGGGCAGAATGCTGGGTATCGCTGAGCCACATATTGCTCGTCCTTCCCGGACATGCGGTCGGTGCGGTCCCCGCAGTCGTGCGGAGCGGATTAGCGCCTCACGCCACGTGGATCCTTTATTGGCTTCCGTGACCCAGTGATAAGCTTACGAGCTGCGCTTCTCGAAAGTAAATCTCTGAACAAAGGAGATTAAATGCTCGCGATCGGACTTCTTTTTAGCCAAACTTGCTCTGACTGCTCTGCTCTGACTGCTCTGACTGAATCAAGATCGCTTGCATAGATACAGAGAAAGTGTTGAACTAACATTCATCTGACTTCGAAGTCACTACTCGTATTCCCTTGCTTCATCTACTTCACACTTTGACGCCATTTAAATCACACCGAGGCACATTCCTACGCACATACCACGGACCGGGGCGTGGTGACCTCGACAGTTGGTTGTCCGACCGTTGTTATTGTTGTCGCCCGCTCCGCGCGGGCGCCGTTTACCGTTGCTCTCCGGTTCACCTCGAAGGTAGTCAAGTCAGACGAGGAAGAGCCCACGCTGCAGCTGTACCTACACACCGGTGTACTGTCTGTAGAGTGTCGCGGTGTCTCACCGTGGCCTTGTATCTCGATGGACCGACTCGGCCTGGTGTTTGCGGCACACCCGGCGTTGAGGGGCCCCTCGGGGACGCAGCGGACAAAGGTGTGACTGGCAGTCAGTCTTCGGGCGGACTGACAGTCACAGTCAATACAAACAAAAACTGGGATCTTTAAGATTTATGCTATCTCTTTGTGGCACCCACTTGCGCAATATACGCGCATGTATATGTGTAACTAGTGATATGATATTTGGTAAATTCTACTATACGTGTAGAATTAGATATATAAGTTGAGTAGAATAGCCAAAACTGTCGCAGGAACTCGGAAAAAATACATCTGCCCATCACGGCACTACTCTCCGTCCAAACCAGAACCGACCAGACAGCGCCTCAGTTACCGGCAGACATTCAGGAACGTCAGGGACGCGGGCAGGGCCCACCCCAGAGCCACATTTCCCCCAGAGGTCACACCTGCAGGGGCCGGTCGGCGCGGCGCGGCGCGGTGCAGCCTGTTCTCTCTGTTCCTGCATGGAATGCCGGCTCGCCTGGAGGGGAAAGTTGCACAGTCCCGGCCCTGTCTGTGCAGGGTGCACACAGTCGTGAGAACCCGGCCACGGACTGAGAGCGAAACGGAGACTCGGCCAGTGTTGGCCGAGCATAACTCTCCGGCCCAGAGGCCACACAGATGCCGTGGGAAGAGAGGGAGGAGCCGCAAGCCCGACCGGCGGCGGCCGCTAATGCCATGAGAGGAATGAAAAGTTTGGACTCGTTTTTGGAACTCCATTGAGATTATGGAGATGATGTGATGATGCTCTTACGAAAGTGCTTATTTGAATGGGTTTAGTACCTGTAAACTGGATCCCGTTACAGATGCCATGCTCTTAGCGTTGTCTTTCATCTTGCCGAGCTATGCCTCAGCAATGCCTCGTTGATGTCAAGTAGGACGCTGTAGGCTCGATTCTAGTATTTCCAGTCGAAAGAATCCAACCACTTTAGGTCGGTCTGATCGTTAGACAGCACGCAATGTAATGTCTGTTGATTCATAACATCAAAAGAAATAACTAAAACTGACCATTTTCGGGCTTTGGAAAATGTTGCGTTGCGACTATCTCTCTCTCCCTCCCTACCTCTCTCTCCCTCCCTCTCTCTCTCTCTCTCTCTCTCTCTCTCTCTCTCTTTCTCACTCTCTCTCTCTCTCTCTCTCTTTCTCACTCTCTCTCTCTCTCTCTCTCTCTCTCTCTCTCTCTCTCTCTCTCTCTCTCTCTCTCTCTCTCTCTCTCTCTCTCTCTCTCTCTCTCTCTCTCTCTCTCTCTCTCTTCCCCCACAAACTGACATTTAGCCTTTAGCATGCATTTACAGATACAGATACAGATAGTTTATTCGGATCCTCCATAAGATGGATTTTCTGGTACCCACGTCAGTTACATAATATGCAAAAGTACACCACAATGCTGCAATAAAACAGTTAAAATAGATCATACCTATTACATCATAAAATGTCGACTCCGTACGCTACCAATGTATCACATGAAACTGAGTCACATGTGGCTATTCCAAGTGCTAGCTGCACGGTACAAAAAGCCGCGTCGGGCAAACGCTGTCCGGACCTTGGGCAGGTGAAGCTGACCACCCGCCGTCGCCCGGGTGCACCGGGCCGACACATCAGACCGGCGGACGACCCGCTCACGCAGCAGCTCCGACGCTGCCGGAGCAGTAATCAGGTGGCGCATGGCAGCAATATCACGCTCGACAATCAGTTCGTCAACACTGGACCACCCCAGTTCGCGACGTAAAGGCGTGACATGATCGCGACGGTTGAGACCAGCAACAATGCGAACACCAAAGTTTATGACTTTTTGGATGCGCCTTTTCTGGGATGAATTACAGTTGGCCCAGACGGTAATGCAATACTGTAGATGTGGGAAGACGAGAGCTTCTACTAAAAGCCGTTTGGTACATTTCGGCAGTTTCTGACGCGCTCTTGCTAAACCCACTAAGACACAGTAGCAGCGACGAACGATAGACGAGAAGTGGTCCTCCCATGACAAGTACGAGTCGATGACGACACCAAGCACCTTGACGGAATGAGATGGCGAAATCACATCATCACCGAAGTTGATCGACAGATCCATGTCTACGTTTTGACGTCTGGACCTCAGTAATATAAACTCAGTTTTAGATGGGTTGATTTTAAGACGATTTTGAGTGAACCATTTTAGGGCCACGGAAAGAGATCGTTCAATGCGATTTTTCAAAGCCTGAATGTTCGAAGAATAATCTGAATCAAGGAACTGCGAGTCGTCAGCGTACATAAATAGCTTTCCAAATGGTATATGCTGGGGCAGGTCGTTTGTTAGCAGCAAAAATAAGACAGGGCCCAAAATGGACCCCTGTATTACGCCGTGCGTCACAGGCTGCACATCGGTCCCTCCACGCACGATCTGGGTACGGTCACACAGCCACGCAGAAAACCATTCCGGACAAATACCGTACCACCCCAGCTTGTCCAGGAGGCGGCCATGCTCAACGCTGTCAAAAGCTTTGGAGGTGTCCGCGGTGACGAGTGACGTCACCATCCCTTTGTCTATCTGATCGGTTGCGAACGTGACAGCGTCAAGCAGGGCCGCCTCAGTGGACAAGCCGGGTCGAAAACCATACTGTTGTGGACATAGAATATGATGATCTGACAGGTAAGACATCAATTGAGTGCATACAACTCTTTCACAAAGTTTGGCCACAGTGGGGAGAACAGATATTGGGCGGTAATTGTTCGGATCGCCAATATCACCCTTTTTATGCAGTGCGGTTATAGTGGCAGATTTCCATTGCATGGGCAGGTCGCAGCTGACAATAGAACAGTTTACAAGCTTGAGCAGCTGGGGACCGATCACAGGGAAAGTGAGCCGTAACATGTGGACGGTGATGCCGTCTTCACCGCTCGCTCGCGATGCTCCCATCCGTTGCAGTGCTGCTGAGAGCTCGGGAAGCGTGACGGGGTGGGGCTTGAACGAGCCACTGCACACGCGAGGCGGGCGCGGTGACAGCATCTCTCCCACGTCCATGTTGGTCATGGCGTCAGCAACATTTGGTCCGACCGATGCAAAAAATCGGTTTTGGCGGTCCGCCCACTCTGGATCCCGTGTTGCCACTCCCGCCGCCACCGACTTGCTTGAGGACACCAGGAAACGGCGAATGTCCTTCCAGGTCTTTGACCGAGAGTTCCGGAAAGACGTCTCGTAGAAAGAGGAACACGCACGGTTTATTTAACACGCACATTTATGTACGGTACTGTCCTCAATAAGCTGCGAGCCATTCATTCACCACTGCTCTTCACGATGCGCGTGGAAACATTGCGTAATCTGTATAAATCGACCTGAATGAGCGAGAAGCTCGCGATGCTGCAATGACTAGTGAAATTGGATAATCGGTTTATCCTCTCACCCTTCCTAGACCCGACCCAATTCGCATCAATTTCAATTAAACGTGCAGATTTTATTGTTCACGTTCACTCATATAAAGCGTAATGTATATGTGTCAAGATGTGCGTTCGCTATGCTTGGGCAGCTTCAGAGACGTAGCCGATATAGGAGCCAAATGCTACTGTGCGCTGACTGGTTAGCTTTAAATCTATACTGTGAGTGAAACATGATGCGGCAGATTGTGCGATTAAAGCAGCGCTTCACTGTATTAGTGACTTGGCTGAGGCCGAGCGATTCAACTCAAAACGGCAGCCATAGCGTGTGATGTACGACACTATAACACGCATTTGCATTGCCAATAGTTCACGTGGTCTAACATCAACAAAGAAAAGACACATGGGCATCTGCAGCTGACAACATTTGACGGCCAGTGTCATTTTATCTGGTCACAAGGTCGCGCAGCGGCAGCCTGTCAAAACGCCGATCTAACGGCCGTCGACACTACTCACAGCTAAAGATGAGCTGACTTCCGAACGCGTCACTGCAGCGCTGACCGGTGCTCCCCAGTGACCCATGTTCCGAGAGCTGCAATAACGACCAGCGCCAGAGTAAACACCAGATTGCCTCAGGCTCTCCAGGGACCTGTCCGGCTCTCCGAACCGGACACAACGCCGTGTTTCCCGCGGCCGTCGCTCGCCGCGCCGAGTACGACGCGTCGTTTGAGGACCCGGTCAAACCGGAGGTGTGTCGTCGGCGACATATTTGGGGAGCGGCATGTACACCGCGAGTTTTTAACGGGGGAAGGAAAACGGGCGTCAAAATATAGCAGTGGAGGAGCCGGAAACCCGTCCGAGGCACGTCAGCCACTGTGTGTGACCTTCAAAGACCGGCCATGGTCTAGTCAACGCCGCAACAGAATGTAGAGCTCAGTGCTGCGATTTGCGGTCAACTTTTCTTATTGATAACTAAACAGTGCTAATGTAACAAATAGAAACGTTTAATAGGCGATGCTCCGCGGTTGTGTGCAATACATTCCTCTCAAATGGTAGCATTAGTTTTCTATTCAGGACAAAGATGCCTTCCCCTCCCAAATTCCTGTTAGAATAAGTCTGTTATAGTCCCTGTCTTGTAGCGACGGTCGCTATCCTGTTAGCAAAACTGCTGCTCTCCTAGCAGTAAGCGGCGGAACACCTTCAAGTAAGGGGGGGGGGGGGCACTGCCGACTTTTGGTCCCATTCTTTCCATGCAACGGCCATAGGCTAATGTTAGAATGCCAAAATCAAAGGGGGGCACGGTGCCCCGATGCCCTCCCCGTTCCGCCGCCTATGTCTCCTAGGGCAATAATTACTGTCCCTTGTCTGATAAGCCTCAGGCAGCAGCTGACAGTGCTATCTACGAGTATGTTAGCACTGAAATGTTGTGCAACCTGAAGCAATCAGATGATAACGACTGTCGTCAAGTGATTCGCGGTGCACTTTACTGAGCCTATCAAACTGCTCATTGCGCATGCGTGTCAAAATTGTGCCAGTTGGTGTCGGCTGCCGTTGAGATGAGCTGCAGTACAGTGTTCTAAGAAGGGTGAAAATCCATCATTCGGCAGATATCAGCAATGGTAGGTAAACACTATCATTTTCTTTTTGGATATCTTTCGATGTGCTAAGATAAGATTAGATGGGTGATATTCGATATGTTTGATTGAAAACTAAGCATCCTATGTTGATGCACATTGCTCGCTCACGACCAGGTTTGCAATATCAAGCTTAGCCTGAATTGTCTAAAAATGTCGCCTGTTGCCCATCGTTTTCATCCTTCTAAAACCGTTGTCTTCGTTGTCAACTCGCGCCCCGCTGGGGGTAGGGGTGGAGGGGTTGATTTCATCCATTTTCTAACGTTCGAACGAATGGTTGTATAGAAATATCGGGGGAAACGGTAACAGAAATCCTCAATAAGACGGGTTTTAAAGTTTGAAGCATATTTTTTGCTTAAGTAGAGAACAGGTCAGGTCAAGGTCGCGTCACGATCCAAAACCTTAAGTATTGGTTTTGGAGCCTCATGCATGCGCACTTTCATCCTGATGTAAATATTTTAGTGAATCAGTTCCCTAACGGTGATCTATCCCGTGCAGATCCCCGCGTGTCGCCTGTTGCTGCTGCTACTGTCGCTGGCTGCGGTCGCCACTGATGGATACCGAGTGCTGATGCTGGCTCCCATCGGAGGAAAATCACAGAAGAACGTGTTCTCCGGCCTCGGCTCAGCGCTGGCCGAGCGAGGTCACGAGGTGGTCTTCTTCAACAGCGTCAACACGTCGTCACCGGTCAAAGGAATACACGAAGTGGTGCCGGACGCGCTGGCAGCAATGGCCGCAGATGACAGCTACCCGAACCTGTTCGAGATGAATGAGAAGGGAATTCAGGTGGGATGGAAGCAGATCAAATCGATCATGCTGGACGGCCCCCGCGCGGCTGTAGCGAGCAAGGAGTTGGATGAACTTCTCCAGCAGAAATTTGATCTTGTCGTCTTTGGCACGTATGCATATGCAGTTTACTTTGTCCCGTTTGTCCTGAAAACGCCATATATATTCCTGGCTTCAATTCCATACATTCCAATGCATAGTACTTCTTTGGGTAATCCTATGCTTCCTGCCTTACATCCCAATCTGTTTACAGTGAAATCGTCGGATCACATGACCTTTCTGGAACGAACAAAGAATGTCATTGACCATATGATGACAGACACTTTTCGACGACCGTACAGCTGGTTCTGCGACAGTCTCGTGGCAGCAAAATTTGGTGAGGGAGTGATACCTCCAGCTCTTGAGATCGAGAGAAACATGAGCTTAATATTGCTTAATAGCAATCCGGCGATGAATTATCCCAAACCCCTTCTTCCTAATACCATCGAGGTGGGAGGCATGCACTGCACGGAGGGCCAGCCACTGCCGAAGGATCTGACTGAATTTATCGGTGACTTAGAGTTCGTCTACTTCAGCATGGGCTCGGTGGCCAGGCCGCAGGACATCACCCGCGCTCAGAAGTCTGAGATCCTCACCGCTCTCGGCTCGCTGCCCTACAAGGTTCTTCTCAAGTGGGACACCACAGACCGCTCTGGGATTCCTTCGAACATCCTGCCCTCCAAGTGGCTGCCTCAGCAGGACCTCCTGGCCAGTGAAAAATGCCGACTCTTCATTTCACACGGCGGCTACGCTAGTCTGGTGGAATCCGTCTGCCACGGCGTGCCCATGGTCATGCTGCCCGTCTCCATCGACCAGCACGCTAATGCCGCTCAGGCCGCCCAGCTGGGTATCGCCGAGATCCTGCCCTGGGACAGGCTGACCTCCGAGGATCTGAAGACGGCCGTGGACGCTGCTCTATCCCCGGAGCATCTCTCGGCCTCCCGCTACCGCCAGCAGCTCCTCAACTCACAGCCAGTGCCGCCCCGTGACCTCGCCGTCCACTGGGTGGAGCACGTCATGCGCCACGGCGGCGCGCCGCACCTCCGCTCGGTTGGCGCCGAGCTCAACTTCTTCCAGTATTACTCACTGGACGTGCTGGCCTTCCTGCTGGCCGTACTGCTGCTGGCGCTGAAGCTGGTGGTGTGTGCGGTGAGAGGTTGTTGGCGATGTGTGTGTGGGAGGAGGGCTGTCGCTGAGTCGGAGGCTCAGATGAAGCGAGCTAAGCAGGAGTGACATGTTTCATACTTATGTAGCTTATGAACTTTAAGCCAGTTTCGATGTGTAGATTGTAAAAAGACTAACAAGTTTTTGCAATAAACATGTTTGTGAAAAGATGTTGCAATGTGACAGTGTTCGCTCAGCCACTTCAACGGTTATCTTGGAGAGGTTTGCCTCGAATGTGACCTAGGGCGGAGAAGGATTAATCCGAAGGATAAGATAAAAAGACGGTAACGATCAATCAACACAAGACGACTGCATTTGGTCTACACTAGACACAATTCGGTGGGAACAGTAGGAAACCGATTGAATAATAGATCGATTAAATCAGCTGCCGTTAAAGCCGAGGCATGAATGCAGCCTCCAATAGAATCCGCATCACCAACTTACAGCATTCCTGCATCCAAAGCGGATGGCTTTACAGATGCCATGAGAAATTGAACTTCCACGAATGTTTTGTTTGATGAGGGCGAAATAATGTAGCCTGCAGCAGTGCCTTCCATCGCCGTCGTGCTAACGGCGCATTCTGTAGTGGAATATGCCGGAAATTTCAGGCGCTGCATGCAACATATCTGCCGAGTGCCGGGAGCTGTATACCTACATACCACGGAAGTCATTGCTGAAGCCAAACATTCCATATTGAGTTCTTCAAAGAGCAAAAGAATTGCTAGTTGTGCGGCAAAAGAAGGTTAGCTGACCATGATTTGCCCTACAATGATGGACCCTGATATTTTTAATGACATGCAATTTACCGCAACGGTCGCTATACCTGGGAGTGGGGTATGACCACAATTTACCTGTTCTTCCACCTCCCATGGCAATGCATTATTTGTGTACTTACTTTGGTGTGCATGCATTTCTATTTTATAAAATACTTCTTATACCTATATGTTTCCTGGGCCTCTTTACTTAGACAGCGAGACGGTAGCTAGTTTCCCTTTATGCTCCCAGTGCCCGCGCCTCATGTTCTACTATCCAGTAGATAGTACAAGGTCCTACATGCATTTGGCATGTGTTTGCAAGCTGCATTGCATACCAACATGCATGTGAAGATGTGAAGCTGCATGACTTTGTCGTATACCGGTTGGCGCTGCCTCGGCCCAGTTGTATAGTCTGACATCAGAAGGACAAGCATAGTGTGAACACCACAACAGGTCTGCTATCCTGTCTGTTTTACAATCATGTAGACGTTTATAGCTCGGCTGAAATGGTGAGTCAGTATTGCCGGATCGGACATGCCAAGGTCGGGTGATTCGGAAGTCGTAATTAGGTACAATAATACCGCTAAAATGTTCACTGCAGCTCATATGTATTTGGCCTTATTCATATACCGAGGAGGGCAAATGTAGAAATTGATGATATTACCTATATGGCCGGGCAGTTTACCTCTAATGCTGGCACCCCAGATACTTTATTTATCGCTGCACATTGAAAGTATAAGCACAATTGCTAAAAAGAGCCATCAAGAAAAAATGTGTGAGCTTTGCTTTACCGGATATATGATTTGTCTTTTGTGTGGAGCGTTGGTCAACGTTTACATTGTAACTAAGTTGTAAGCAAATACAGGGTGGGGCAGCATAATCGGGAATAAATATCAAACGGGATTATTTGGTCATGAATTTAAAAATATAGCTCCAAGCACTATTTTAACAACATCCCATCAATCGGTCACCTTTTACCTATCCCTCATCCTATTTGACCGCCCTTCGCGTCGATGACCTTCTCAAGGCGGGTCCAAAAGCACGCGCATGCACGTGCAGCCTCCTGCTTGTCCATGATCGCCCATCAGCTTCGTACCTTGCACTGAAGACCGTTTTTACTGATGATAAGTTGTTCATTAAACTTCTACCAAAAAACGCTCCATATAAAGAATTTGGTCGGATTTAAATCGGCGGAGTTGAAGGACCAGAAGTTTTTGGTTCATCTCAGGTGGAGGTGCGCCCTACACAATAACATGTCGTCCTCACTGCAGTACCAGCACGGACAGAGTCCTCGTAAGACGTGATCTGGACCGTCAGTGATCCTCTCTTCCGACGACTCCACGTGAGTCTGCCAGAGTGTGGATGTATTTACCAGAGGTGCTCGTTTTATCCGGGCTCGATGAAGTAGGGTGCACCACGTGCACCTCCCTTGAAGACCACCCATAGGTCCATCACCTCAACAGGATGTTTACTTTGCATGACCGCTGCAATATTCTCGATACAATCCCCTATATGGCATGCCATTCTTTTTTATCGTATTCCAGTCGGTGATAAGATTTTTGGTCGCTGAAGTTTTGAACATTGTTTCTTTTTAATATGCTCAAGAGCTTCTTCCTTATATTCAAGTGAGTCATCTTGTATGTCCTCTGCTAAGAGTTATTTTACGACGATTACGTTAACTTTTTGTCCAAAGTATCCCCACACAATCCTTATCGTCCGTGATAACACGTTGACCTGTCCAGCAACCTTTACGTGGAATGGCATTGTTTTAAACAAAATGTTCTTGTTTTACTCGTTTAACATTAGTGTCTATGGGCGCGCGCAAAGCACTTGGAGCACCGTCGAACTATTTTGCTGCTCTTTTCCAGGAAGTTGCATGCTCATGGATGTAGTCATGTCAGATGATGCACAACTTTTGGGCGTTTCATTGCCATGATATAATTTATCAAAATAATGCCATGCCTACTCATGACCAGAGCCCAAAAAGCATTCCCGATTATGCTGCCCCACCCTGTACAGCCCTCCCGGCCGCGCCTACTTGCGAATGACAAAGCACAAACATGTGTCAGTGTTTGGAGATCAGGTGTGGCAGCTTTGTGGATTTAGTGGGTGGATTCGGTCCACACAGGTAGCCATAGGTGCCCCGCCAACCCACCACTAGGCACCTGTGACTGAACCCAGCTGAAGTTGTGGAAAACAAATGGGCCAGCCCAGGATAGGCAAGGAGGGAGCGTCAGGGAAGTGAATTGTTCCAACGACCAGGTGTGCTGGAGGTATGTACATGCAATGTACAAATGTACTTGCTTCTTATATAAATTCATTTTTAGAGACATAGTCACATACTGCAGCTAAACGGCTACATTAGCCATGACCCGGTTCTCCAGACGCTTTACAATATGTAGATCGGAAAGGCCAGGTCGGTATACTGACCATAGCCGTCCCATCTAACTATTTATCGCAGCCAATAAATCCATCATCCAACCCATCATATGATCCGCTGCTTTTTCGCGCTCTAATCTTCGCTCCAGCGCCGATCCCAATTGTCAGTCACTTCCACCTTTCACGAATCGGCCCTTCCCTGCTCTTCAGGGTCAATCCCGTCTATTCCGTGCCTCTGTACCTTCTCTTGCCAGTCCTCTCACAGGCTAACCTCTCTTTCATCAATTCCATCCATTCCGTGCTGACAGCCGCCGCGCTCCCGCCCCTCCCAGACAAGGCTCTTGGTCCTCCTTTCCTTTTCTGCACCAAATTTGCCGATACTGTGCTGGTTGCGGCCGCGCCCATCGGCACCCCCGGGACCAGATCTCTCCTGGCCTCCGGCCATCTGACCGGCCCTGACGCCGTCTCCGCTAACGGTCATATGCTCCCGATGCCAGCCGGACCCGGCCGCGGCCGTCCGTTACCCACCGGCCGCTCCCGTGCCGGCCACTCCCGTCTCCGAGCCGTGTTTGGAGCGGTGCACGAGATAACGCACGCAGCTGTCATCACAGCGCGAGTTCGCGAAGGCCGGCCGCCTGCCGCTGACCGGTGGGAGCGCCACCGGTCTCGATAGGAGCCGAGTCCGGCGCTCACGCAGCCGGCTTACGCAGGCGTGGCTTGGTATCGCCCGGCGAAGCTGCAGATTAGGTAGTCGCTGATAGGCGATAATATAAATCACCGGATTAGGGTGTCTGTCAGGTGCAGCATCGTTCCGGGTCAGGGTGCGTCCCTGCTGCACGTGAAGCTTCAAGTGCAAGAAATAAGTTGCACTAAGGCTATAAATTAGTGCAAATGTTTCGTATACTCATGTTAGGACATCTGACTTGACTGAACTGAACCATCGAGTGCACTATACGTTTTTCCAACCGAGAATGCAGAGGTCCCTTAGTTGTCTGGCTGACATCTGATTCTGTTCAGGTCATTTAAGAAAAAGCGATGCTTACCGATCCCAAACGAACATCGAACTTCACATTTGGCCTGCACAGTGCACCCGTATACTGAAGTGCCTTCCCAGAAGGCGTAGTGATGGCTCGTGCCCTTATAGGACCATGTAACGCACTGTGCGTCACTCACTGCGGTCAAAGCCCCTTCTCAGTTCCTTGACAGTTCATTCTTCCCCGTATCTCCAAGCAGGATTTCGCTGCAGCCGGGATTGGCACTGACAAGTGACAGGGCGTCACCCCGTGTCACTCGGCCGGCTCCCCCACCGGTTGTCACCGGCGCTCACCGGTCTCCCAGACTTCATCAACAGGCAGCGTGCATAGAGAGTACTCCGATCAGCTGGCGCCTCGCGCTCCGCCTATGGCCGCGGTGCCAGGCGCCGTCCCGACCCAGCGCGGCGCGGCCGGAGACGAGCCGCATTGGTAGTCGTCAGGTAGGTCATTATAATCGAGCCATGGCCAAAGTGACGTAACCAGCACAGCCCGGCTCGATCCGGAAAAGAGAATAGTAATGACGCGTTTTTCGTGGAGAATTCATGACCTATTAGGTGGAGATTTTGAAGGCTGGACACTAGCAGCATCCAAGCCGGATGAAACCAGAGGCATCTGTTGGGAAAGGCGAGTGTCTGGGGCCTGCCATGCTTAGGTAATGATTTCTATGAGCTGGTGATCTGCGACTCTGGAGAGCCGTCACGCGAGGAAGGAAGCCTGAGAATGGCTGAGAAAATGATGCATTAGCCATTGTTTACCTGCTATGTACTCGTAGGCACGTACTACGTAGTATTTACTGCTTCCTTAAACATGCAATCCTATCTTTGACTCAATGTTCTAACAACAAACTGCGAAGTAGTGGTAATCGTATGATGCATCGTCCATCGCACAACTAATTTTATGAACAATCACACGTTTGACGTTTATCAATCTTATCAGTGACTGCGCTGGAGACAAGCAGGAAAATATCGCTATACGTGACCTATTTAGTATTTAGTCGAATCGCCGCCATAAGAACAACTTC